AAAGAGCGGCTCAATGAGGCTCTGCTTCACTCTGGCAGGTGCCTGGGTGTGTGCGGGGCAGGGCAGGGACTTTTTCTGATGTTATTGCAGCTTTTTTGCGGCCCTGCTGACCAGCCCTCCGCATAGCTGTCAGCTCGAGGCTCAGCTCCTGCTGGAATCAGGTGTGTGGCCTGATGTGCATCACCCCAGCCTCTGCCCAGGAGATTTGGCACTGGTTCCTGCTCGGATCTGGGAATACCTTTCTGTGTAATCCCATGACACTTTACCCTTACCATAGCTTTATTGCCTGCTGAGGTGCTTAGAATGAGCAATGAGTGCGCCACTGCTGCCCTTCACGCTGAATCCATGGTCTGCTGTAGGTGTACTCATGCTTAGTAGTAGAATATATGTGGTGGCTTTGCTTTTCCCTGCCTCTTGATTCACAAGTCATCCTCACATAGAATCGCATTCTCTCTTCCCTTACAGAAGAGTGAAATTCAGTCTGTGTGCACAGTGTCAAACTCTGTCCTCCAGAATGAGATTAGTCTTTATTTTATTAAAAACTTCATGGTTTTATTTTTCTCTCCTTCTTTTCTAGGAAATAGACAGACGGTTGGAAAAGAAGCTGAAGATCACACAGAAGGAAAGGTAACTGCCACGTGGTTCGGTAACATCCTTATTTTCCTGAGGTGCTCTTGGACATCTGAAGGCCTGGGGAATGGGAAAATGGCTTCAAACTGAGCAGGGAGAGCGCTGGGTTTGAGTGGAGAATTAGGGAATCCCTGTACCCATGCCACTAGATGGCCCTTTGGATCCATAGCAGAGCAGTAGAAAGCTTGTTGAGAGTGATTTTATTTCAGAGCCGAGTCTTCCAGACTGGATGTAGCTACAGCTTTGGGGAAGCCTTGTAAGAAAAAGCCACTCAAAGGAAGAAATGGGTGAGTCAGGTAATCCAAATTTATGGTCCTGAATTGACTTGCTGTGTCTTGCATCAGGGAGACTTTCTTTTCCTGCTTCCTTTGGGTCGGGCTGGGGTGGGGGTGTTATTGCCTCTTACCAGAAATGTTTCTAATCGCTTCTGACAAGTCTTCTGTTGTTGTTTTTTTTCCATTTTGATTATTAAAGAGCCATGGGATTAATTCTGTGGGAATTCCACACAGAAAAGAGACTATAAAAGAATTCAGGTGGTGAGACAGAGCCAAAGCTGTCTCTGAGGAGTGAAATGGCAGGGTTGGAGTGGAATGCTGGGTATCCTGGTGAGAGGAGCCCTAAAAATCCTTTCAGAGCATGGACTCAAGGTGTTTATACTGGTATTTTTGACTAGAG